GGTTTTCTTCTGATGTAGTCTAAGTAGAATCCTGACTTTTTCCTGCTGCGAATCACAAACTAACTTTAGTGCTTTGATGAAACCTTGGCATGACTTAGCTGGATGACCTCTTCATCAAGTGCTTTTTAACTTTATTTCACTCATGAACAGTTATTTTGTGGCTGACACAAAACAGCAGACATCATAAATTGTCTTTACTCTGTAACCTCAGTTGTAATCCAATAAAACATACTTCCAAAACCGATCTGATATATGAGATCATAGTCAGTTTGATTGCTCTGAATTGAGTCATTTTCACACAGTGTTAACAGAAATCAGATCCACTTTTAGCTTTAAATTTTTGTGATGTCTCATGTTTTGTTTTGGTTGCAATTTTTGAGGCAGAAGCTTTTTCTTACAGCTTCTGTCAAACATGCAGTATCATAACGTTTGACACATTTCTATCCACAGCTTCTACAGAAATTTGACAACAAGTGTCTTAAGTTTCGAGGCCATATAGATAAGATTTAGTTGCGCTGTTTGGCTCATTTGGTGTAATGAGCAAAAGAGGAAGAAATCTCAAGTCTCGCAACAAACTGACCGCTGAGTTCAATCAATCGCTGACAGTCCCTCGCGTTTCTGCGCTGGTTTGAAATGCAGAAATGTCACAGAGATAAGCTCTGCGGTAAACATCAGCTCCTCTCTATTGCTAATGAGCTCAAATAGATGAAGTAAACAGCTCCTAGCGTAAGCACCTGCAATAAAAACCTGCTATCTAGATGCATTTTTATTGCGTCTTTTTGGCGGCTTTTTATGAGTGGAAGATGTTTATTGTGTCGCTCCGATGCGCAGGCAAAAGACAAGCATGCAAACATTCATACAGTGCCGTTTGGAGGGTTTATTCAACATGCTGGTGATGAGTAACTGAGGAGTGAAAGGAGATGAAGAGATGCCGACTAAAAGAGGGCCTTGGTGACTGCGAGCCGAACATTTCTCCATTGACTCCGCATCTTAAGCTCATTCACGCTGCTTTTATATTCAAGGCTTTACACCGGTATGAGCAGCACCACATGCCGTTAACTACCATTTTATTCACTCAGGCTTTCATGGCTGTGTCAAAGTGAGCACAAAGAACTGTAATAATCACACTGAGATCTCTGTTGTCTCTGCTCGTGCGTGCCCCTCGGTACAACTCACTCTACCCCCACTCAGCTTTTGCACAAATAAATCAGTCACTTTGTCACAAATGAGCTATAAATTCTCCCCACTCAAACAATCATTCTCAGGCTCCATTTTCCCCCTCCCCTCTCAATTAATAGGAAACACATAAGTTGAAGGAGGGTCTTTGTTGGTGTGTGAGAGTCCATACATCACCTAAACTAGAGCAAACCCACCCCTCCTTTTTCTGCACCCCTGCCTGTACACACTCCCGACAGTCCCCATCTGCTCCCAATCATGGGTGCAGCCAGCGGTCAGGCACGTGCTAACATACTTGCACATGTAAACACACACACGGAGCAGACACTCTAGGCACCGATATCCGACTTGCAAACACACACGCACTGAAACTGAACCCACAGGTTGGCTTGTAAACAGGCTCCCTTGACTCAAGTTTTTCCAAATGTGATCAGCAAAAACAAAAGCATTTCTACTTGCACACACACACTAACACACATCTGTGTGGACACCCAATGGTTACAATGCATTCCTTACCCATTATCATCATCTTAAAGACCACAAGTCAGTGTCTAAACCTAATGAAAGACCTACTAGATCTTGAAGGAATGCATACGGCTCACTTCTACTGTTTTAAACTAAGATCTGCTGAGAAGGAGGGGGATTATAGCTACTTTAGTCAGACATTGTAATTTATGTTCAGTCTCATACAACACTGTGAGATCTTGTGAGATGTTAGAGTGTTTGTGAACAACACACAACTACGATCACACCAGTATCAGTATCCATAAAACTGACTGGGATGTAGCCATATTTGTGTTGGCTAAAGTCAATTAACTGTGGCAGCCATCTTGAATTGGGATGACACCAAATCGTAATGTATTGTAGGGGTATATACATATATAAGTATCGTGCAAAATTTAGTATGTGTTAGCATTGATGTTTAACCATTAACAAAAACAATTTTTAGGTTAATGTATGTAAAACCGACTATTTTTGTATACAGTAAGGTCAATTAGTTGTGGTGGCTGTTGATTTGGGTTGACTGAAAAAGTTAATGTACACACAGTGTTTACTTTTTGAGAGTTTCATTAAAATCCATCCAGAGGTTCATATAATATTTTGCAAAAAGACACAGTTGTCAAAGGCGCAGTGGCTCTTGAAAGGCCAGTTGTAATTAACTTTGATGTTTCATATTTAACTTTGACTGAACAATATTTTAACACCTTTTAAACACTGAAAAGAACTAAGTGTACGACTGACTAAATCTGAAATAAATAATACAGAAATATAATATAATATTAGGCTATTATAATAAATAATAACATTAAAAGTGAAACTTATAGAATTTTACTCACTGGTGAGTTTCTAGTTAGTAGCTGCCATCTTGATTTCTTAACTCCCACTTTCTGACAGGGAATTCCCGTGGATGATCAACATGCATTATGGGAGATGTAGTTTATGTTGATGCTGACTTTAAAGCAGCTTATTTTCAGACATTAATACTGTGCTATCCAACTAAATTGCTCAGTTACTTAAAGCCAACAGCTCAGGGGCAGGACTAGGGATGGGTACCTTTGACATTTGAATCGATTCGGTACCATTATCCGGTACCTGGGAATCGGTACCGGTACTTAACGGTACCAATTTTCGGTACTTTGTGTGTGATGTTTTTTTTAAATAATAAACTTTTATTTTTTTAACATATTTCTCAATATATAAAATTAACAAATATCAAGACAACATCCAACTCTTTGTATTGTAACATCAGTTGTGAAACTTATTTCTTTAAGGTGAAAACTSTTGAAAACAACAAGACTGTTTTGTCTTATTGCACAAATTAAAATCCAGCTCCATGTATTTCTATTGATGTCATTTCCCCACTAGAAAAATTGTGTGATGGAGGTCCATGGAAGTAGTAAATAAGTTTAAATCAAATAAGCAAAAGAGGATTGAGTTAAAATAAATAAAAGGTATTCAAGCTACATTTTGAGCATCCAAAACACGTCCAACACTTCAAGTTAGCTGCTTGTGCTCCTTCAGGTCAGACGTGTTCGGACTGTCGGCAAGTCAGTTCCTCTGTTGTTTTCCTCTGCCGGTCTGTTTAACGGCGGATGAAATAAAGATAACGGCGGTACTTTATTTACTTTGAGCAAGCGAACGTCGTGTTCACAAGATAATTAATCCACCAGATAATTCAGAGGCGGTCTGTTCGGTGAGTTTTACTCCAGGAGCTGCGAGYCTTTTAAGCTACGTTCAGACTGAGCTCTGTTTACTGAACTGGCGGCTGCTGACGTCATTACGCTCTTGCGCGATGCTGCGTTCAGGACAAGCATGCAAAACTCACCACTCTTACGCCAATACGGTCGCAATGATGCATTTAGGTACCGAAACAGGGTACCGTTTGATGTTACGTGAATAAGTTCTCGGTAGTACCGACAGAATTCGGTCAGTACTTAAAAAAGTATCGAATTCGGTACCCATCAGGACAGTTGTTATTATCTTTCACCTTTTAATTTAATTTTCATATTAAGTAAAAAAATGTTTCTTTTTTTGGGAGGGGGCCCGGCGGGCCACACGGCCCGCGGGTCTTGTGTTTGACACATGTGCCAAATGATTCAGAGTGCGCGAGAGCTACTACTATACCAAATTTTAGTTGAATGTCAGCAAAATTGGTTGAGTCATGGTTATTTTAGTGTTTAATAAGGCAACTTAGGCAGCCATATTGAATGGCTTCGACTCTAAAAGTTAATCAGGTTTGGATGTACATCTAATGATTATCTGATGATTACTTTCTTAAAGTCTGTCCGGTAATCTTGAGAAAGTTAGCTAATTCTACAAACACACCCAAACATTAGCAAAGACCATTACTGCCGTCTCGCCTTCGGCAGCAACATCCATGATCTTCATCTACTTGATTTCCTAAAACTACTCCTCAATCATTAAAAAAAATCACTTTGTTCCTAAAGGAACAGCAGTTTGGATCCCACATGTACAGGAGGTACCCCAGTGGTTGGTTTCCTGTCTAGCTTTGGGCCCCAACGTAATATAAACACACCCACTGAAGCGTAATGACAGATAAAACATGAAAAATACCAGAGTATATTGTGAATGACAGGGTGTCGTTGAAATGCCCATTTTTCCTCATGATGTTTACATAATGGGGTACTCTCTTCTGATTGTTTGGACAAAACACTTGAGCTACTGCAAAACTCAGCATGGCCAAAACACACGCACGCTGTTTCCTATCAGGATCTAAATGGACACAAATGAGCCTGTTATGTGCTGTTGGGATTAGCGCCATGATTTAGCCTAAATGGTTTGTTTTTGTACTCCTGCTCTGAGTTCATCAAGCATGGGAAATGTTTGCCAATAAAGTATTGAAGTTTTAAATTGGCCTGTTTACATCTGGAGCGCTTAAGTCAGACGAATGTTGTGGAAGCACTTTCTGCCGTAGCCAGTTCTACCAGCTGAATTCAGGATCACACGTTGACACCACTTTGAGGTTTCAGAGGCTCGGCTTCCCATAAAAAAAAACGTCTGCCTCGGCGTCACGTTTTGTACGTGGCATGTGTGCGTGTTGTGTGTAGTTGTGGGAAGGTTCTGAGCATCAGTGCAAATTAAAAGGAGGCCTTTTGGCTCTGTTTGCATGCCAACATTGTGAAGACAAAATCATGTAGTTCCTTTTTCTTAGAAAGCCACTAATACCGCTTCATTTGCACGTGTCTTGTCTTCAAGCTGCTGATTATAAAAGCGTCTTATTGTTTGTTAATTCATCATTCGGACCCGAATGAAAACTTTTTCTAAAATTCTTTTTTTGTTGTTGTTTTTGTTTCTATCCACAGCCTATCGATCAGCCCGCATAGGACCACAGCCCCAGAGAGTCAGGGGAGAGTGGAGGGGGCATCTGACCGTCTGTCATCTTGGCGCCGTCACAAGGTGGGATAACATCCTGTATGGTTGTCATGGTAACAGCCTGCTGGGTTTAGGTTTGTCAGACTCTGTTTCTTGTTGTTGCCGTAGTCTTGCAACATCCTCCTGACCTGAACACTGAGATGCAGACGGTGTTGTGTTTCTTTCTTTCTTTCTTTTTTCTGAGGCAAATGTTTTATGAAGGTGTTTTTTTATGTTTGTTTTTGTTTGTGTCTGAGGTTTGATTCTTGGAAGGTGAAATAATGTCTAGAGGGGATAAAAACGTGGTGGAGTTGATGGTGAGAGAGGGGGCAAAACAAAGAGAGTTGAGTGTTTTTAGACAGTTGAGAAAACGAGGAGCAGGAAGATGGCAAAGAGACAGGAGGAGTGATCAAATTATTTCTTACCGCTCTACCTGCTACAGGAGCTGAAAAAGAGCATTAATCTTAAAACACACACACACAAAACTATGTCTCTCTATCCTTGTGGGGACTTTCCACTGGCTTCCATTTCCTAACCCTGATGAGCATTTAGCCTAAAATTAACCTCACAGGTACCTACCTGACCCCAAAACTAACCTAAACTCAATTCACACCTTGGTCCTAAACCCAACCCCCACACCCACCAACGGCATTTAAACCAAATGGGGACTCGACTTTTGTCCCCAAATGCACCAGTTGTCCCCAAATGTAGGATTTTTGTCTTAAAATTGCCTCCAATTGTCAGCAGAACCCCCCCCCCCCCCCCACACACACACACAGGCACACAACATCTGCAAGTGACAACAACACACGCACACAGGCATAAATGTGCCCAGGCTTTACCAAACCGCACTTTCTCTTTCGTTCATGTGTCTTCTCACACAAATAGTCCTGCTGACATGCAGCCGTTACACAGACAGCAGGAGTGAAGTGAGTTAGAGGAGGAGGAGGAGGAGGAGGAGGAGGTCTGTTTGTGGCAGTGAGGAAGGTTCTCTTAAAAACAGGAGAATATGAGAAAAGGTGGTCTTTCCATACTGAGGTAATGGAACAACATAGATGTAGTATTTAGCACTTAAATGTCAAAAATGTTTTTAAATGACACTTTCTGTGTAAAGGTAAACCACAGGAATCTAAAGTCAGTTACATTTTTTATATATAAAACTTAAAAGATTTGCTTTATTGTTGCATCCAAGTTGTAATCTTTATTATACCAGCTTTATTCCTGATTGTGGGTCTAACTTCCTTTAACTTTGTAATCGATGCAGCTAAGACTTCTGGGTTAAAAAAAGGTGATTGTTCACCCACAAAACCTTTTAATTAGTAGTTGATTGAAGACTTGGCTAAAACTGTGTTCAAACAGGAACTGAAGCTTTGAAACATTGTTGACATTTTTAATGAGAAAGCAAATGCCAACAACTTCACTTCAAACTTCCTGCAGAATGAAGCCGAACATTCTCCTTTGTTGTATGAAAACATTAATAAAACTTTCTCAAAAGCTGAAAGTTATTAACGTTTAAAGAACATGTTAGAGTGGATATTTATTCATAGACAATGTTAGACAATGAAACTAAAACACCTGGTTTTAGACCATAACATCCCTTTCAGACAGCTTCCTCTTGCGTCCACAGTTAATCCTGTTGGATGTGGTTGGTCCTTCTTGATGGTATGCTGACATTACCCTGGATACTGTGGCTCTTGATACATCACAAAGACTTGCTGTCTTGGTCATAGATGTGCCATCAAGAAGTGCACCAACAATTTGTCCTCTTTTGAACTCTGGTATGTCACCCATCATGTTGTGTGCATTGCAATATTTTGAGCAAAACTGCTCTTACCCTGCTAACTGAACCTTCACTCTCTGCTCTTACTGGTGCAATGTGTAATTAATGAAGACTGGCCACCAGGCTGGTCCAATTTAGCCATGAAACCTTCCACACTAAAATGGCAAGTGTTTCAGTTTTATTGTCTAACCCCTGTATTTGTTTATTTATTTATTTATAACTTGAGAAAACAACAATCTGACATTAGCACTAACAAATTATCGCAAATTTAAGGAGTACTTCAGATTTTTGTACCGACTTCATGTGCATAGTAAATTTGCCTGATCTTTGCTTAGCTCAACCCTCCTCTTTCACACTTGTACCTGCCCCCTGTGTGCCCCCCACAGTTTGCTGATGAATAAACTACGTTTGTGTGTTTTAACATCAGCTGAACTGATAAGTTAAAATCACACTGCCTAGCACTAGACTGAGGCAACAACACATCCTTGTGGCTGACGTGATGTAGCGATGACCGTGCGACCACCAGGCCGAGGGATTTAAAAGTAGGGGTGCACCAAAAAATAGTTTTAAATCGGAATCGTGATTCTCATTTACAAAGATTCAGAATCGATTTAAAACATCCCAAAATCGATTTTTAAATATATATACATATAAAGAAAATCCAAAGTTTGTCAACCTCCATTTTGTAACCACTTGAGACGTCCCGACGTCACATGCAGCTGGAACATATGAATGCGCAGAAAGCATCAAAACAAAGAGGAAACTACAAAACTGGAGGAAAGAGAGATTCAACTGACCCTGTCTTCATTGAATGCAAAAATTTGGGCTCATTTTGTTTTTCGCTGAATGACTCTGAGTTTGACATGAGCTTCATTGTGTGCAAAATTTGCAAAACGAAGATGAAGCACTTTAGGAAAACGACAAACACGCTCACATTGAGTTTTGAATGAAAAAAATTGATGTTGAATCGAATTGTGACCCCAAAAATCTGAATCGAATTGAATCGTGAGCTACCAGAAGAAGGTGCACCTTTCCAGAAGAAGGTGCACCTGGACCAGTCCCGGACCAGTTCTTCTGTGTTTACCTGTGTCTCTTTCCTGTCCCTCAACCAGCCAGTCGAGGCAGATGGACGCCTGTCCTGAACCTGGTTCTGCTGGAGGTTTCTTCCTGATTAGCAGGGAGTTTTTCCTCTCTATCAAACACTGGATGGATGGATCAATATACAGTTTTAAGGATTGGAGTTGTTTTAAGGTGGAAGCACTGTGGTCTTGGCCCCACTCAGGCTAGCCGTTAGAGGTGGCAGAAAGCAATGCAACCCCCTAAAGAACCCTACTTCAAAAGATCATTGACAATGATTTAGGGTCAGAACTGGTCGTAAAAATGGCGATTTGTCATGTTTTGTATGACTTGTTGAATCTAAGTACCTGCAGTCATGTCATGGTGGGAGTTGACGAGCAGATTAGGACCGTGTGCCTCTGTTTTGCCAACAGAGCTTTAAACTAACAGCAGGCTAAGAGAGATGACACCATGACTGTTAGCACCACTCGTCCTGAACGTGCCAGCAGCTGGGATTTCTCTTTTTCCCCTCTCACCCTTTCACCTTGCCTTTTGTCCCCATCGTCCTGCCTTTACCTGCATCACCTGCAATAAAAGTGAGCCTAGAGAGCAGTTCAGACATGTTCACACCAAAACCTTTTGATCTTTAGTCTCAGTCAAAACGTTTCACTTTTTTTTCATCTTCTAATTTGAGAAAACATGATGTTTCTCTCAGCTGAGGTCTGAATGAAGCTTGAACAGTTATCTGAATTGAGTTTGGGGATACCCCAGATGTTAATGACAGCGGTCAGACGGGAACGATCCTCCCTCTGTTTCAGATGAAGCACGCCACAGATGAAGAATCAAGTTGGTGTTTGTTGCTCATTGTTTCCTGTTTGTTCATCGTCTGCCACCAGTAGTTCTTTGCTACCTATTCTTTGTTTGTTGCATTGCTTCCCCCCCTCTGTGTGACTCACTTGGCTGTGGGAGTTTTGTCATCTCTCCGCTGTGTTTTTTTTTGTCTTCCCAAACCACATTTTTGCTTTCGGTTTGTAGCTGCTGCACATCCATTTTGATTCTGTTCACCAAGAGTTTTGTTTGTTTAACTTGTAGGTGAGGTGCAGCTCATCATGTCGGAGTTATTGGACTACAGAAACATAGGTTTTTAGAATTAAACCTTAAAGAAAACCTGTCTGGTGTTAAAACAGAAAAAAGCTTTTAAAGTAACTTTGGAAAATTGTAAAGAAATGGTGGACACACAACTTCGAAAAAATAGTTTGGACTTAGTGTTCAAAATGTAAAAACCAAATATCTGATTGACATAAAAAAAACTATGTGGAAAAACAATGGTGCTCTAGCATTTTTTGTCAAGTCTTAAAAATAAAAATGTGTTTTGTTTGACAATTTGAGCTCTAATGTATTATTTTAGCAGTCATAGTCTACTTTCACAGTTAAATGTGACCCAAATGTGATTTTTTTTAGTCCCATGCAGCCTATAACTGTTTTCCCTGACATGCGACAAATCTTTATTTATTTATTTATTTATTTATTTATTTATTTATTTATTTATTTATTTATTTATTTATTTATTTATTTATTTATTTATCAATCAAATCTGACCCAGGCCTTTTTAATATGTAGTACGGTATATGTACCGTAATATGTAGAAGCGGATACTGTACAAATCTGATGTTTTTCAAAGGACTGCAGTCTGAATACTCATGTCGCATTTCATCTGACTTTTACATTTGTGAGGTGGAGGTAGGGCTGCGCAGTATATGCGGTAGACGGTAGAAACGGAATGAAGTTGACCTACGGTAGAAATTTACCCTCTACCGTTCTATCGTCATTATGTCATCGCACCTGTGTCAGCATGGCTGCGAGTGCAGAGACAACTGACCAGCAGGAGTTGGAAATATAAAGAAGAATTTCTAGCGTTTTAAAACACATATAAAGAGAATAATAATCCTCAAAATTTCCTCCTCCCGCTGTAGAAAAGTTACGTCATGTCGCGGGATCATTTCCTCCCTCTCCTCTCCTCTCCCTGCATGTCGCGCAGAGCGAAGCTTTAACAGCCACAGTTTTTCACACCCAATTGTCGGAGAAAAAACTTGTTTTTTAAGTATTGTTACCCACAGAGATGATTATAAAAAAGACGTGGACGTTCGTTCAGTCATAAATCCATCTTGCTAATGTAAAGTCGGCTTCTGCTCTGATGACGAAGATGAGC